AGTGACTGGTTTCATTTACTGTTCAAGTTGAGTGAAAGTTCAAAGCATTTTCAGTAGTGAGGAGAAAACAAGCTCTACTTGGTTGCCAATTGTGAATGATTTTTAGTGAGCTACATGGGGGGGGAAAAAAGTCATAGGACTCCTTTCCCCAAAACTGCTGTCCCACTTGCACTGACTTCTGGAATGTAAACCCAAAGCTGTGTAAAGCTTGGCTGTTTCCTGCCCATCCTTCCCACTGGTACTCGCTCAGATCCAACTGTGCATGTAATGATTGTCTTCCAGTTCCACCCCTTACCACCACCTTCCGCTTCAAGTACCATTCTTTGCCTTGGCAACATGTTATGCTAGGATCCATGAGACCCTGTGATTTAGGATTGGATGAAATCACTGCGCAGCTGAGGATTTTGGAGAGACCATCTCCTGGGGAGCAGGGAGTCCTTAGGACTATCTCCTTCCTTCCATCAGTCTTGACAACTCTTAAAATGTATTAAACAACATTTAAACTGACTCCTCAAGCCACAATGCAGCTTCTCCCGTGGGCATTAACAGCCAGCTGTTCTGGCAGCTGATTTAGAAGCAGCCTGCTAGAAGGAAGATGGATCTGGCATGTGCTGTGATCACTTAGAGAGGAGGATCAAACTATAATGAGTGAAATGGGACCTTCCATTCCACCCCCAGCTTTCCTAATGGTAATGGAGAGGTGGTCTTGGCTACCTGTTTCCCTAAGATTTACCAATAAGACCTAACCCCAAGGGTTTGTTTGGGCCTGCTAAATTACCAGGTGGCTATAGGAGCCAGTGGAGAGTCTTTTTTCCTTTTATTCTAGAAGGTCTCCATCTTTTTCTCCAGCAACATGTCCTACAGTTCCTCTGATCCTAGACCAGGGTCATGGTCTAGCTGATCATCAAAGACTCCAGCCTGATGACCATCAAGGCTGATCATCAAAGACTTCACTCCCTGCCCATCCTCTGTTGTTTGTTATTCTCTTTTCCAAAGCTAATGGGCTTGGTGTTTGCTGAATAGGGCATGTAAAGTAGAAATGAGGCAAATATTACTTTTATCTAGCCGTGGGGCCTATCTGGCTGCAGCATCCATTGTCTCTAACTTCATGGAGTTGAGATTTGGGGGGGGGGGGGGG